TTTTATCCGATATATCTCATATTGAAACCATCAAAATCCCTAGATGGATACAATACGTGCCCACTAGTAATATTGAATTACATGGATTTTGTGATGCATCAAAGGCAGCGTATTGTGCTTGAGTTTATATTCGGTCACAGAATTCCCAATCAATTGTATCCTCTACCCTGTTTGCAGCCAAAAGTAAAGTGGCTCCCTTAAAAGTTGTGTCGCTCCCAAGGCTAGAACTTAATGGTGCACTTCTTCTCGCTAAACTGATTCACTATATTACTCATACTTTCGAACTCAATATAAGTTCTATTACATTATTGTCAGACTCTTCTATTGTACTTGGTTGGCTGTCAAAACCTCCCATGTCATGGGAAACATATGTGGCAAACCGTACATCTCAAATTTTGGAATTGGTCCCGAAAACAAAATGGAAATATGTTCCCACCCGCGAAAATCCAGCCGATTTAGGCACCCGTGGATCTAATACTCAAGATCTTTCATGCAACTCTTTGTGGTGGTCTGGACCTAGCTGGTTAAGCAAACCAGAATATCTTTGGCCAAAGAAAAACCCATTAGTGGTTCCCAATGAAATCTCAACAATTCAAATACTGCGTACAATATGCTATGACGACGACATATTGCTAAGATTCTCTAAGTACTCCCGAGCTTTACGAGTTCTATCGTACGTATTCCGTTTCTTATTCAATTCTCTCAAGCGATTCAGAAATAAATACAAATTTCGTACAAAGAATTTAGCGCACACAGAAATTCAGTTTGTTAAATCAAGATTGATTGTCCTTGCTCAAGAAAAAAATTATCGTCAGGAATATGAATCCCTAATGAATGCCAAACCGATTTCAATCAAAAGCAAGTTATGTACTCTCAATCCATTTTTGGACTCAGAAAATATAATGAGAATCAATGGAAGACTTTCTAACTCCTTGCTTCCGTACAAAGAACGACATTCCATTATTCTTCCCGGTAATTCCAGATTCTGTCATCTCTATCTCGATCATCTTCATATCTTTTTAGGACATGCAGAATGCAACCTTATGTGTAGATTTACACAAACGGAATTTTATATTTCGCGCTTAAAACCCAAAGTTAAAAGTATACTCCATAATTGCAAAACTTGTATTTTATACAAAACAAAAGCCCATATCTCAAATAATGGCTCCTTTACCCGCCGAAAGATGCACTCTATCACCCCCCTTTTTCATTACCGGAGTCGACTTTGCTAGCCCAATTGAACTTAAAAGTTCTTCCCTTCGCAATTCTCCATTAATGAAAGGATACGTGAGCATATTTATATGCTTCTCAACTAAGGCAATACACCTGGAGCCCTGCTCAGACTTATCTACTGCAGCTTTTGAAGCGGCATTTACTCGTTTCGTTGGGAGGCGGGGACTCCCCTCCAGGGTAGTATCTGACAATGGGAAAAATTTCGTAGGAGCAAGTCGGGCACTACTCAAGCAATTTTCAATATTTCTCAAATCGGCTTCCTTTGAAATATCTCAAAAATACGCAACACATGGTTTTGACTGGCAATTTATTCCCCCTTATACACCCCACATGGGTGGTTTATGGGAAGCTGCCGTAAAAAGCTTCAAAACACACTTTAAGAAAATTTGTGGTGCCCACAGATTAACTTTTGAAGAACTTTCCACTATACTTGCTCGAATTGAAGGCATTTTAAACTCTCGTCCCATCTCAGCAATATCAGAAGATCCTTCAGATATAACAGCTCTCACCCCGAGACATTTTTTAAGAGGATCACCTATAATGTCATTTCCAGAAAGTTCATCCCAAAATATATCCATTATAAATCATTGGACAAAGTTAAAAGCTCTCCATAACAACTTCATTCTACGTTGGAAGGAAGATTACTTAAAATCCCTTCAGAAACGTTATAAATGGAAAACCAGAATGGCAAACTTGATGGTGGGTGATATGGCCATTGTCATGGATGACATGCTACCTCCCCATGAATGGCGGCTAGGCCGTATTGTAAAAACGTATACTGGCTCTGATGCAGGTGTCCGTGTAGCCGACATAAAAGTTGCTAGCGGCATAATTAATAGGCCAATAGTTAAATTATGCTACTATCCCATTATCTAACTCAGCAACCAACGATTTAAATTCCATTTCAATATAAACTCAATCATCACTACATACACGCTACACTACATTTCTATCATGTAATCATTTGTATATCTATTAATTTGTATTATACATTTCCAGATCTCAGACTCCAAGTAACAAACCTGATATATATATATAAGTGCAAACTTTGCAAAAGGTTCCACTCAATCAAATCTTGCCCAAAATTTATCGACATGACGCCTAGACAAAGGAATTTATTGGTATTGAAGGAACTATACTGTGTCAACTGCTTGGCCAGAAGCCACCGCTTTCGCGACTGTCGCTCGCGAAATATGTGCCGAAAATGTGGCAGACCTCACCATACGCTCTTACATCAAGTGTATCCTGAGATAAGTGGTTCACAATCGCCAACACCAAGAACAAACAACCATCCTACATCTAATAACCGAGTTGTCAACCGCAACAACGGGCGAAACAATGAAAGAAACCTAGACCCACGACTATTATCTGAGGCCATACGTGCCATTGCTTCCGTGCTGTGTTCCACCAACCACTAACCACCATCGTTGGCCCGGGCAGCATGTCTAAACTAGCCAGTTTAAACTTATATTCATTATTATAACTTGCATTATCTACATTACATTTATGTAAACTTACATCTTAAGTACAAAACTGCATTATCTACTCTTGAACTTATCCGAATGAATAACAATTACCTATGTAAAACTATGAAATCGTTGAAATTGAAACAAGTACTAAATTTTTAAGTCTACTTCTTGGTTGGTTGCAGACCAACCTTAAGACCACTTGCAGTTCAACAACACACCCGGTGAGAACATTCCCTTTCTGAATTAACCTTAAACAGACGAACTATAAAATTGGGTTTTATTTTCCCCCTCTTCTCTTTGTGTCAAGCGTTTATCCATAGATAATTTCTCGGGTCAGAGCAATTATTGATGCAACATTTAAAAACCTAAACGTTTTAAGGATCAACATATCACGGATTCCCTTCTTTGTGTTTTACCCTCCAAAGGAAATACAGTCCACATTAAAATTGCTCTCAAAGCTGAGTGTCTTAAAACCAGGCTCCACTTTACCCATTCAACAGCTCTATTAATTAAACGCTAGCCGCCTGTACACCATCACAAACAAAGATGAATCTCTTATACAAGACTGGAAAGTTTATCCTGAGTGCTCATTTTCAGATCACCGGAAAATAGTTTTCAAAATCTCAGTAGAGGGCATTCATCAGAAATCTCGTAGAAACCCAAGAAGGCAAATTGGGATAAATTTGCGGATCTGCCCATACCATGGCTTCACTGTTTCGACATCTTGGTCTTAACTTCAACCCACGATATAGAAAACTCCACAAATGCGATAACGAATGCCTTGCTTGACTGCTATGAAAAAGTCGGTCCGCTAACCCACGCAGGCAAGAAATGCCAACCAGTTTGGTGGTCAAAACATATAGCCAAGTTAAGGAGGGATAGAAGACAACTGTACAATAGGGCCAACAAGACCAAACTACGTACGGACTGGGATGCCTATAAGACAGTACAACAGTGAAATTAAGAAGACCAGGCGCACATCTTGGGTATGCTTCACCGAGTCGGTAGAATAGAAAGCATCAACGATGCCTCCAGATTCCGTAAAGTCCTTTCTAAGGATCCTAAATCCATAGGAAGTATAAAACGGACTGATGGCACCACTCTGGACTAGAGACTCTCAATATGCTAGCCAGCATCCACTTCCCCGGCTGTGCTGACACGGTAAGCAATCGGAAAACCGATCAAGTGTATATACGGTTACGGACCAAAATCTGGCCGACAGAATTGTAAGCTTATCCAAAATTAAGTGGGTTATAGACACATTTAAGCCTTTTAAATCCCCAGGGCCAGACGGCATTATTCCCGCTATGATCCAGCATGTCTCAGTGGCAATGTCCCCAATCCTGGGGGAGATTTTCAAAGCTTGTCTGTGTCTATCCTACATCCCGGAGTAATGGAGGGAAGTCACAGTTACTTACGTCCCAAAAGCAGGGAAACCGAGTCACGCACTTTCCAAGGTCTACAGACCGATAAGTCTCTCATCCTCCCTAATATAAACACTGGAAAGGCCTGTTGACATAGAGATCATATCTCTACCAAGACCGTCATCAGCACTGCTCAGCATGGCTACATGAAAGCTAAATCTGTTGAAACAGCGCAACACGATGTCGTAGGGTACATAGAGAAGAACATGAATGGGTCCTTGTTTACCTTGGCTGTCTTCCTCGATATTGAGGGAGCCTTCAACAAAGTCACCCTAGAATGCATTTATGAATTACTTCACAAAAAAAAAAAAAAAAAATTGTAGCCATTTGATAAAAAAAATTCCAAAATCCAATTAAATTTTTATTGATTTTTGGCCGATAAAAATAATGTTCATATTTACAATCGCCGATAAAAAAAAAATTGTAATAGTCGTTCGAAAATATTTCGATAAAGAAATTCTCATATTAACTAAAAATGTTGTTGAATTTTATTTTTTTTTTTTCAATTGATAAAATATTTGTCATATTAACAAAACGGTTTATCAATTTTTTCATTTTTTAATTTAAAAAAGTATTTTCACATATACAAAAATGTTTGTCGATTTTAATTTTTTAATTTGATAAAAAATTTAGCAAATATACAATTAGGTTTGTTAAATGTGAAAGCAAAATTCGAACAAGAAATTTTCATGTAGGCAAACCCTTTGTTGGTTTTTTGTGAAATACAAACCCAAAAAATATATACATACAAACACATTTATGTATATATGTTATGTATGTGTCTCGTATGACAACAAAAAGAAAAAACAACGAAGTAATTTATTTAATGAACATACAATTTTGGGTTTATTTTTATATAATTCATAGAATAAGAATATATATTTATATACAAAGGGAATGGAATGATTACATATAATAAAAATTAAATCTTTTAATTTTTGCATTGAAATATATAATTAATTAATAAGTGAATATAAAACGAATCAAGTCTTACAAATGGTGTGATTTACATTTTAGTTTTTACGTAAAATTTAAAATTTCATTTTGTATCACAGCGATTTTTGGACATTTCTTGTCAGATTTAATTTCATAGAAAAAGGTTTGAATAAAGTTGTAAAAAATATTAGATTCGTCGGGAAATTCTAAATTAAATACAAAAAATATTTTAAACAACAAATCTACAGCCGTTAAAACTTTTAAAATTGGAAAACGTATTCCATCGAAATAAATGTATATTTATTTATTTTGCGGTTCTCCCGTAACAAGCAGTAGAGGCTGGATATTGGTATTGCACAGTTTCAACAGTTCCACTTTTATATCCATTTCTTTGTTGTTTTCGGCAATAAGAGCAAAAGAATTTTGTGAGTCAGGTATTTTTGCGCCAGTTTCGTCTGTTATTTGCTTTTGTTGTGGTGGAAAAATATGGTGCAAATTCCAAAATATTAAGAAAATTTTTGATTCTGAAATGAAATGGTAATATAATTTTGAATTAAATACGTGTATTGTGAATTAAATTAAAACTCGCCTTACCTTCATCGTATTTATCGATATTTATTACCAATTTGGATGAAATTTTAGATGATATTAAGTGCCAGATTTTCCTCTCGTAAAGTGGCCACTTTAAAATAAGATTACAGGATTTAGGGTATTTGGTATTTAAGTGAAAAATCTATATCGATCTTTGGGAGAAAAAAAAATATTCATAAATTAGTTTTTATCGAAATAAACAATTTACTTACCAAACTAATTCCAGAAGGCTTTTTGTACTCCGGCCAACTTCTCAAAAGTCATTTGTGCTCTCTGAATGTTCAATTTGAGAAAATCTAAGCTGAGAACATTTTCTCCAGTAAATATCGAATTCGTCAGCTGCAGTGTTTTCGTTTCGAATACAACGGAGAGCGAAATCTGACTCAGCTTCTGGAACTAAATAATAATGATAAATATTGAAAAATAAATAATATATATAAATATTTATATATTCGTATATGAATAAAGTTGTATTTACCAAATTTTTTGCTTTCGGTCGTTTTATTTACAGATCAACAAATAGGTTCATTCTCCTTCGTTAGACTTTTGGTATATCGTTTTAAATTGTATATTTTATTATACAATCTACCCCTTTTTCCCGAAGTGTAATAATCCTAAATTAAATTAAATTTAAAGCTTATTTTGAAAGACTATAATTTTGGCATAAAAATCCAGCACTTACCTTCGACTCCATTGGAAATAGCACACAAATTTGATTTTCTATTTCATTACTATCCGCAAGTGAGCAAGGATATCCCTTAGACTCAATATACTTAGCAAGTGTGTTGATAAGTAAGTTGCGCTGTTGCTCGTTAAAAAGATTATGCTTTGCATAATGCTTTAAAAGTAATCTCCCATTCTGTGAATCCATCAGCATATCCTTTACTGATGGAACTGGTTTTTTGACTAAACCACAATCAGTGAATTCCAAAGTGGTATTTGTTTTAGGGGTTTTTTCTGCATTGTTGGATTCTAGTTGCCACTGCGTTAAATTCTTTTGAAATATCGCCATATCTCCTACTGCCAATCCCTGAAATAATATTTCTATTCGTACAAACTATTGCGAATAATTCACCTTTTATTGTACACACAAATGACGAATTGTCGTATTTATAGCCCAATATTACTGCTTCAGCAAACAAATTAAATGTGTCGTATTTCAATTTATGTAATATGTTTTTTTCAATATTTTTGTCAAAAATCCTTTTTCTGAAAACACTATTTTCCGTGAATTTGTCATTTAGCAAAAAATTAGCAAATTTCATTTGATGCTTAAAAGAAAACGATTTTGGAATATTTTTGCGAGATGTAATTATATGTGAGTAAATTTTGAATTCTCTGTGCTTTCCTTCATATCTAAAATTCCAGATGTTTCGCAAAGGTCCAGATTTTTTTAAAATGGTAGGATAGTGAGAATATATATCAAATTTAGGAGTCAGTGGGCACTTAAATAATGTCACAAATTCTTTATTAACTATTTCTATATCTGTTTTTATATTTGATATAAGGTTTTCGTCTATATGAAAGCATAAAAGTTCATCTACCAATCTCAAGAAATTTAGAACATATGTATATACAACATCGTTTTGGGGTATATGCTCCCCAATTAACATACGGAAATTGTAACAAAATGACATAATCTGTCTTGCTGATAATTTCAACTTACCACTTTCTATTTCCTTCAGTGATATTTTTATCTTTTCTGTGCCCTTATCATTTGTATAGTAAGAGAATGATGCCAGCCTTAAATTAATTTCGTCAATGCTCACATATTGCATTGTTTTTATGAAATAAATCAATGATTTGCATAAAATCAGGTGGGCTATCCCCTCGAAAATGTCATGCATGATGTCTACATAATAATTTTCTGTGGCGTGAAATGATATTCCACATTTAAATTGCAGTATGCTGATATACCCGATTCTGAGATTTCATTTCTCTCAAATGACAAAGCATAATTTCTCCTATTTCTCATTACAGCAGGATTTTCTTCGCCTGTCTTCTGTGATTCTGTTTTATTCATTAAACAAAATCGGCAAAATTTTTTTGCCGAAAATGATTTTTGAAAACCTAATGAAATGTTTTAACCTAAATTATCTCCTAAAACTAAGCCTAGTATGAAATGGACTTTTACTGTCCCATTTTTTGTATTTATTTCTATGCCCTCAGTTTCTAGTGATGAAATTTTTTGTACAAGTAAAGTATAACAGCTACTGCCGTATTTTTTAATATCGGCTGCAAGCACTGATGCAGCCAAAAATACTTCATTAATGTTTGAGAATTTACTTGGAATACAAGGGAAACTGTAATAGAAGTTACAAACAGAATTTTTAGTCGATTTCGAACCTAGAGAATTGTTAATACCGAAATCGTCCAGGTACAAAAAATATGGAACTAGAGTCTCTTTGGGGTACATCATTTTTTTTTGCTTCCATAACTCACCCTGCGCAAATTTTTCAATTTTTTGTTTATTTTCAGTATGTTTATTGTGTGTTAAAACATCTTCAAGGAAATTATCTTTTTCAAAAATTTTTTTAAATTTAAAATCTATTGGCATTATTATGGCTTTTGATTTCGGATCATTTTCGATATTGAAAAATGTTGCCTCTGCAAGCAAACCCATATCTTTTGACACTTTAGTGAGTTTATGCTCTGAATTAACTCCCTTAAAAATGTCTTTAACATCATCAAACATTGCAGGTACTATATCTTTACTTACACCGGCATTTTGAAGACTAAGTTCAATAAACTTGATAAGTGGATCTAATAAGAATTCATCAATTAACTTTTGATTAGAAATTATGTTTGAGCGAAAAATATTCACCCCTACTCTGTAAGACGTCGTCGACAGCTAACGTCGACGCCTTGTGTCGCCGTGTTAATTTTGGCAACCCTGAAGTCGTGTCGACAGCAGACGACGAGTACTTGGTACTCGCTAAGGCGTTTATACAACCATGTTGAGTCGACTCGACTTACTTTTGGGCGTTACGGTTTTTCTGCACGCCTTGTGACGCCTTGATATAAACAACTGTATTTTTATTGATTTGTAAGTTGGTGAAAAAAAAGAAAATAGGGAAAAAAATAAAAATTACAAATGGAACGCAATTTGATTGCTTAATAAAAGAACTTGGGAAAAACCCACGCCTTGCGGAAGGGTTCAGCAGAGGCTCTCTTCCATCCAATTTTAAAAAAGATTGGGAGGATATTACAACAAAACTGAATGCTTTTGGTCCTCCGGCAAGAGACAGTGATGGTTGGCAGAAGGTAAGGAATAACAGTATATGTACACAAATAATTAAACTTTCTTTGTTTTGTTTTAGATTTGGAGAGATCTAAAATTCAAATGTAAAAAGAAAGTAGCCTTCAACAAGGCAGAATGCAATGCAACAGGTGGAGGCAGATACATGCAGCTGCAACTTTCCCCGTTGGAAGAGGCAGTTGCGAGTATAATGAAATTTGAAAGCCAATTAACTCCTGATGGCTACGTGTGTGGCGCCAAAAAGACCAGGGATTTTCTGTGGTACAGGGTGAGGAGGAGATTCGCTCAACACCAGCGTCTACACTTCGGTCTTCAAATGTTGAAGCCGAAGAATACTTTCCCACAGATGAGACATTCACCCACCATCAGCCTGGCAACATAAGTGCATGTGAGGAAGGTTGGTTGGTCGAGCGCGTTGAAGATGAAGAAAACATCTGCCCGCCGGAGTCATCTAGTGCTGTAACTCAAAAAAAGAATCAAAGAAAGCAGAAAGATAATAGGAAAAGCAGAGAAAGTTTATTTGAACTGCATAACAATATGCAAGAAAAGGTGTTGAATGAGATTTCCCACACCATGAACTCAATCAAAAACACATTAAAAGACGCCAAAAAAATTCAGGAAGAGGAGTTAAAATTACTAAAAAGACAAAATTAAAACGAAAAGGAAATAATTAAAATTAAGAAAGAGAAGTTGAAATTGTTAAGAAGAAAACATGAAAGAGAGGAAGAGTTGTTCCAAAACGAAGTGGAAATAAAGAAAATTGCGCTGGAAATCAAAAAGAGGAAGTTGCAAAAGCTGAATGAATCTGACCAATGAAGCCAAAAATTGTGATAGCTGCGCTTTACATAAATATTAATAAGTAGTACCTAGTAATTTTTTCATTCTATAAGAATGAATTTATGTATTTCATTTAATTTTTTTTTATTTTTTAGAGTCTGAATTTAATTCTAAGTTTGAAATAAGAATGAACTTTTTTTTAAGTTTTAATACATAAACAATGATTTTTTTTTTATTAAAATCAACAAACTTAAACAAAAGTGGATTTTGTTTGGTCTCGTATTTGTGAAGCTTCAATACTTTGTATATTTTCGTCTTCATTCTCAACATTTTCATTGCTGAGTTGTACAGGTACATCTTCGCTTAGATCATTTACACCATATGCAATAGAAATGTTGTGTTATGCCGAGCAAACATTTGCAATTTTAGTTGCCTTTTCACGCTTATAATGAAGTTGACGAGCGCCGAGTAAACACCGAAAGCGATTTTTTAAAACACCAATGGTTCTTTCAATAATATTTCTTGCTTTGGCATGTTTATTGTTAAAAACAGCCTCAGCACTCCCTTCTTGAGAAGAACGATATGGCGTCGTCAGGTATGGCTCTAGCGGATAGCCTGCATCACCTGCATAAAAATCATATATTAGTACGTATATGTAGAGTATGAAAACAAAACGAAAAATTTCTTATTTGAAAGGTTCGACAACCAAGGTTTGTGAATCGTTTTTTTTTTTTTTTTTTGATATTCTGTTCTCATGGTGATGCATTTTACCTAAAATCCAACTATTACGGTCACCACCATCATAACGTTCGCGCAAAATTTGTTTGGCGTGGCTCATATTCCAAATCAAGGAGTCATGTGCTGAGCCAGCATGTCGAGCATCCAAATACCTAAGTAAAACTTAAATTAGAATCTTAATTGCACAAAATAATTTCATTACTTACAATCATAGCATTCAAACTAACAAATCCTTTACGGTTATAATAAATGCTTTGCTTCTCCTTCTTCGGTGTAATTATCTTAATGTGGGTCCCATCTATGCATCCAATGACGCCTGGAAACCCTGTTTTTTCAAAAAAAGCTAGTTTTGCTTCGGCTTTCTCATCCTCGGTGCCAAAAAGCGTAAAGTTGTAGCCAACTTTATTGTGGTGGACACAGAAGTTTACCGAATACTTTTCTTCATTTTCGGCTCAATAGTATCAAGCAAGTATTTAAATGCTGCTTTATTGATGCGAAAATGGTTTTGAAACCTGTAGATAAATGATATATTTTATGAATGGCATGTATCATGACCCAAAATAAACTATAAAACTTACTTGATATGTGGTAGGTTAAATATATCTGACCTTTGCCTTATAATTTTTCTTTGTATACGAAGGCTTTTTTCTGTTCTTCATCACTAGAAATAATAAATAAAATAAATCATTTTACCAAACAAATTGAAGAAAATTTTCTTTATTCGTTAGGGATTACACTTTTTGGTGGTAAATTATCGAAACGCAGGCGTCACTGGCCGCGACGTCTTACAAAGTAAAAATTTTGCATTCATGTGACAACGCCGACGTCAACGAGTGACAACGACTTTGAGACGACGACGTCTTTGGCGACGACTTACAGAGTAGGGGTGATTATTAAAGGAATGCAACCGAATCAGAAATAAACTAATTGAACGGCGGATTTCACCCAAGTTTTCCTTGTAAATCCTTTCGCTTCCGCTAATACACTCATTCATAATTTCTATTTCAATTTCCTCCACATTTACCTCTTCGATGTTGGACTCAGGTTCAACAATGTTTCCCGTATTATAATACTCTGTCCTCTTACTACTGCGTCCATGTCTAAGAACATGCCTTTTATAACTCCCCTTTGAACCAAAGGTTAAAAAACACTCATTAAAATGACACATAAAAGTTGTTCCAGCCGGACAGTAATGGGTTTTAATGTGAGTAAAAAGACTGTCCGATATTGGAAATATTTCCTCACAGAAAGGGCATTTTACTGTACTTACATTATTTTCCATTTTTACGCATTCACAGGAACTTTTTTTCACTATTTAAAAATCACTATTCACTTTTTAAAAATCACTATTCACTTTTTTAGCACACTTAACGCGACGAAAGTCTAAAGCACACTGAATGCATTTACCAAAATACAACATCATCAAATCAAACACCGTAAGATTTCAACAAACAACAAGAAATACATACGAATTAAAAACAACAACGCAGTAACTCCTTGCTTCCTCTCTGAAATAACTCCTCGTCCCGCCGATACATCAGCACCAGAAACAAATTCTAACGTTCGCAAAGAAAAAAACAACGCATGCATGCTCTCTGAAATAACTCCTCGCCCCGCCGATACATCAGCACCAGAAACAAATTCTAACGTTCGCAAAGAAAAAATCCCAACGCATAAATGTTCTCTGAAATAACTCCTCTCATGAATAATTCATCGCCCCCGCCGGTACGTTACCACCATTCAGAAATTCTAATGCTCGTCAGAAAAAGATCATTTCATGCATTGCATTTTTCTCATGGTTGTTTTGTTGAGAGGGCAAGCGGGAAAATAGGTGTGTTGCTAATTGTTGTTGGGATGAGTTTCTTTTTCTTTGCATAGAAACGGGAATAAACTTGTGTTGCTAATTGTTGTAGGGATGAATTCTTTTTCTGGCGAGCATTAGCATTTCTGAATGGTGGTAACGTAACGGCGGGGCGAGGAATTATTCATGAGAGGAGTTATTTCAGAGAGCATGCATGCGTTGCTTTTTTTTTCTTTGCGAACGTTAGAATTTGTTTCTTTTGGTGATTTGCAGGCAGAAGCGAATATTTATTTCTTGTATATATTGGTTGGTCTTTGAATTCGATTATGATTGTATCCATTTTTTTTCTGCTGTTGATGGTCATGTATTTTATTTTTTCACACTTGTATATTTACGTACATACATACATATGTTATTGGTGAGATGTATATACATACATACAAATCAATTATTGTTCAAATTTACTAGATTTATTAGATATTAGATTTTTGCAATATGTTCTAATAAAATTGCTTGTAATAAATACAACAAAGAAGTTCTTTAACAGCAAGTGTCGATGTTGGCACATAATATTACAGCTCTCCCACAAAAAAGACCTGCCAATTCTCAGTATTTTAACGGATTTAAACTAAATGTGTGTCTCTATACGCAAAAAAAAAACTAAGTTTGCTATCAATTTTTACAAACAATTTAACAAAGTATTTTGTAATAAAGTAATAAACAATAATATGGCATATTACAAAAAATAATATTAAAAATGGTTTAACAAATTTAATAAACTTTTTGGTCAAACTTGTTTGTTGATGACCTTTTTTTGCAAATTGTTGGTGTTCGATAAAGATTTCCCACTACGTTTGAAATATTTTATCGACATTTTTTTGTCGAATGGTGATGAAGCTTTTAATCAAAATTTTCGGTGTGTCTTTTTTTTCTGTGTTCTAAAACTTAGGGCACCCCAACTTCTCATAGATTTGATTGATACGATGCTTATTAGCAGAACTATCAACTCGAGCATTGGGGAAACATTCGTCATGAAATCTGTCGCTAGGGGTGTCTTATCAACATTACTCTGGCTTCTGGTTATTAACAACATACTCATAGATCTAGAGAAAAGGGGGACAAAGGTAGTCACATACACTGATGATGTCGTCCTTTTGATTGCTGGGAAATTCCTGCAAACAATCACTGATCTGATGCAGGGAGCTCTAGTCACCCTATCAAGGTGGGCGCATCGTAATGGACTAGGCGTAACCCATCAAAGACAGAGCTCGTACTCTTTACGAAGAAACGTAAATATCCTTCATTTATATCACCGATGCTAGATAGAGTCACGTGAAACCTCTCATCAAAGGCCACATACCTTGGTAGCATCCTCGACCGCCAGCTAAGTTGGAAGAGGAACACCGAGGAACGAGCAAAGAGAGGATTGATCGCACTCTATTCTTGTAAGAACCCCATAGGTAAAAGCTGGGGCCTCAAACAACACATCATCAAATACGTGTATGAGTCAATTGTTCGTCCCATTCTATCCTATGGATCTCTAGTCTGGTGGCATTCCCTGGAGAAGTCAACTTACTTACGACACATTGACAAAGTTCAAAGAGCCGCATCCTTACTAATAACGGGTGCCTTCAGGAGCACTCCTCAAGCAGCACTGGACACCCTACTGTGCTTAAGTCTACTGAGCATACATGTTGAGGAACAGGCATTCAGAAGTGCTCTTCGAATCAGAGAACTAAACGAATGGCGCAGTCAACCCTTTGGACATTCTGCGATTTTAAGACGTGTTAGGTATGTGGGAGTGGTAGGCAATACAAGAGACTATATTTCACCACGGTTGAGCTTTGACCCACCTGACATACACATACCTAACAGAGACGCCTGGGCCCGTAACACCCCACCTTTCCACGGCATAGCTGTTTATAGCGACGGCTCAAAGATGGACTGTGGAACGGGAGCTGGTGTCTTCTGTGATACCCTTAATGTTCGTGAATCCTACAAGCTTGGAAACGACTGTAGCGTATTCCAGGCGGAAATATTTGCGGTCAAAAAAGCCACAGACCAGCTGGTTACGAGGAATGCTGAGGCTAGCGGCCCGGTGACTATATACGTCGATAGGTTCCTCGCTTCATTTCCAGCGCACAATGTTAACCAAAATCTCCGAATACGAATCCATGGACTATTGTGCCTGGAATAATTGCGAAGTTGCCACTTAAAAATACCAAAGTGTTGATCACCTCAATCAAGCGCTTCGCCGGGAATTGGTCAAAATACCGCAGAGCAACATTCGGGTAGCGTGTGACAGTTTCATTGGCCGTTTGAAGGTCATAATTCGTGCAAAAGTTGACCAATTCGAACAAATCTTAACTTATTCTAAAAGTTGATGCTATTTCCGATGTGTTTTATATGTAATTTAATTTTTATATATAATATATATAAAATTTAAAAAAAAGTAAACATTTTAGCGTTTGGCTTTATTGCAGCTTTTTAATCTCACCCTGTATACACTGGCAGTATGCATTGATATCGAAGGCGCTTTCAATAACGTCAGCACAGATATACTCATCCAATCCTTAGACAACTTCCTGGTCGACCGGTCCCTCAGGGATCTATGCTAAGGAATAGAATAGATGGATAACTTGTTGGCAATATGAAGTTAACATAAGGGATAAATTCGTCAAGGAACTCCACAGGGAGGGAGGGAGTATCATCTCTCCATACTACTATAAATAGTCTTCTGAGGACTTTAACCAACGAAGGATTTGAACCAGTCTGCTATCCAGACGACGTTATAATGAGGGAAAAGAACTCTAACTTGTTGTGCAAAAGGGACGAGTCACATCAATAGTTTGGTGGACAGCAATGGATAAAACGTAATACCAAAATATTAAAGAAAGTCCAACGGATGTGCTACCTAAGCGTTTGTGGTGCAATGAGTACACCACCAACTACGGCTTTTGAGACAATTCTATGTGTATACCCAATAGATATTCAGATACGGCACGAGGCGGCCGTTGCGGTCATAAGGCTCAGAGCGACGGACGAGCGTATAGGCAAAAGCCACGTTACATACCATCAACAAATTTTACAGGTGACAACGGGAGAATCAATGGAAAACTTTGCATTGGATATCGGATACCTGAAACTTCTGTAACTGCCTCATGTAAATCATTAATTCCTACCAGAGACTCGTGAATCGACGGATCCCTATCGCAAATACCGACTGGAAACTGTTGTTATACAGACACTGAGCCGTCTGTATAACAGTTTCCATTTGAACTGGCCTAATGATTACACGAGACCGCCTACCATAAACGTCCTAACCGACAGTAAGATCGCTGTGAAAGCTATAACATCCAAAACCGTTAATTGAAAAACAATCAACAACTATTCTCAACACGGCTCAGTACGCATTATATGTGAGTTAGAGATAACAAAACAGGCAGCTAAACGCGTCACGACTAGAGTTCAAGAAATGGACAAAAAACGCTCATATGGGACAATGAAGGCGTAGAAAAACCCACAAAAATCCTTTGGAGCGACCCCAGTGATTTGGAGGGGTATTGACATTATTGTAGGTCCCAGCAAGTGACATCGATTGCTCAATATTGTAGAGTGGAAAAGATTGGTCTAGAGAAAATCCATATAAAAATGGTCGAAATTTCGTCGGTTCTCAAGGACGCAACTTTGGAGACATATGCAACACATGGGTTTACTGTTTTTTATATTTCTTTGCCCTTTACCCAAACTATATGCGCTCTTCTGGGAGGCATAAATAAAAAGCTCCATCAAATCAAATAACGTAATAATGTGGTTAATGTTTTCAGTGGGGTAGAGATCGTTGGGGTACGAATACGTACCTCCTTCCATTCTGGCCAAGAGATTCTACTAAACTCTTTCATTAGCTTTTTTATTTATGAATTTCTCTTTAATATATAAATTATCGTTGTCATACCGATGACCGTCGCTAGAAATACAATTAAGATATGAGACAATGAGATATGTTGATGTTGTCTTAATTCTAAAATTTTTCAATATCCTTAGTGATACTGAGTAAAATATCATTAAATCTTATTTTATTTGCAATTTGTTGTTGTTGTTTGTATGAAAATCACATTGTATGTAGAAAAATAAAGGAAAGTATTTTCGCATTGATTGGAAAATATTTAATTTTCTATTGTTATTTACAATTTGAGAACGTAACAATGTACTTTCCATTTAATATATTAAATACAACTTTTGTTAATTTTGATGTTGCCAGCATTTTTAAAAATAATAGATTCAACATCATATAATTCATATTATGTTGTTATCGTTAAATATTAATTTACAATTTCCTTTTTAGAGTTTTTTCTTCATTATAAGTATAAGATATATTTTTGATATTTACAAATTTTTCAATGGTTTTCTTCTGTTTCGTAAGACTTATGGTTAGGTATAGGGCATGGTAGAAGAATAAAGGTAGGCGCATCGACTCAGCTGCTGGGACAATGAACTGTCAAACTAACTTTGGAATTTAAAATGATGAATAAAAATTATTTAAATTTGTAAAAATTGTTAAAAAAAACGTTTATTATGAATGACGTCCTATAAGAACACATCTAAAAATCTATTTATTTTTGAAGAAACGTTTACAAATTTTGACATATCCGTGCTTCCAAGCGTTGATGCATCTACCCGTATTTTTCTATCATGACATAGGGATAATAATTTTTACAATATATTTTATGTTATGTAGGTATTTTGATTGAAAATATTGCACAATTATTATTGCATAATAGTACTCCGATTTTTACCCGGCTACATCTGCATTATATTTATCTATTTCTTCACATGTTAATAAAAAGTTAAAAAAAATCTACTCTTCCCATAAATGGTTTTGGGAGAATAATAAAATTTTCTTCGTATAACAACATAAAGCAACTAAAAAATCTATATCAAATTTTAGCAGATTGCTGCTAACCATAAAGAGTTCGAAAACGATAATCGTATCTACGCTCCGGAGCGACCCGATTTCCTCTCGCCCAGGTATTGTCAACCCAGTGAAAGCAGTTTTATCCGAAGGTTTTCCCACAGTGAGCAGCTTTGTCCGACATTATATTAAGCCGTGCACTTCGTCAAGAGCCGATCAAGATTAA